TTAAAGCCAGCCACTCTAACAGTTAAAGGTAGCCACTTCATCAGTTAAAGCTAGCCACTCTAACAGCTAAAGCTAGCCACTCTAACAGTTAAAGGTAGCCACTGTAACAGTTATAGTTAGCCACTCTAACAGTTAATCCTAACCACTCTAACACCAGAGCCGTAGCTAGCGCCAGGGGCAAGGGGCAGTTGCCCCCCGAAAAAAATATATATTACAATACATGGTCCATATGATACAATACATGGTCAATGACGGTCACCTTCCCAGAACACACCACCTACGTGGCTCTGCCCCGCAGACAAAATGGGTTAGCTACGGCTCTGAACAGTGAAACATAACCAGACTAACAGTTATATAATACATATAATGACTATGACAGTTAAAGTTAAGCACATATATCAGTTAAATGTAACCGCTCTAGCAGTTAATGCTAGCCGCTCTAATGCGGCGTTCACACAGTGCCGATTATGGCTCCCGTTTGAGATCAGACAGCGCTACGACACGAAAAGTGAAAAAGTCGGATTACTATCCTCAATGATCTGGAATGTCCTATCATTGTCTGAACGCAGTCGTATACGTTCGTAACAGAGTCCTACGGATCGGGAATGGTCCGGAGAGGTCGGCCAAGCACTCCCGACAGTTAGGTGCGTCCCGTAACACTCGGGAAACTCAGCCGATTTTGTCTAGTCGGATTACAATCGTGACTATGTCGTGACAGATTCTGCTGTATCGGATCAAAATCGTAACAATGTCCTGTGTTGACTGGACGGTGTCTGGACGGTGTCCTGTGGATCGGGACGCTGTCGTGATGAACGGGCATGATCTGGAGAAATTTTTCATTGCCGTTTCTTGCCGATTGAGTCCAGATTGCGTCCAATCCATTCCGTCAGCGTCGGTTCACTGTCGGGTCACTGTCTGATCTCTGTCGGATCGAATTCGGGAGAATCGGGACGCTGTCCGGACAGATTTGGTCGTTTTTTACCATGCGAAAGCTACAAATCGGATCAGAATCGGATTGAGAACTGGAGAATCGAGACGAATTCGGCAGAAAACGGCTGAATCGGGACGCTTCCTGAACAATATCTGATTGTTGTCGTGATTAAATAAATGTTTTTACAAATTTTTAATAAAGTTTGAATTTCCCGCCACGAATCACAGAATCTTGATCAGACTTTTGACAAATTTTAATCGGGAATGGTCCTATCAAGGACGGCAGTAAAAATCCTGAATGTGTGACCAAAGCCAACAGTTGAAACTAGTCACTCTGACACGTAAAATCAAGCAAATTTTCGCCACTTAAACTAAGCCGCTCCATCACTTATAGCTAGTTAATTAATCATTTAACGTTAGCTAAAGTTAATAAGATACAGAGTTTATGATAATAGAATCATCTTAGCCATATTCGCTGTGCAACAGCTTCGCTAATGGTAGCCAAAGGAGAGAACACACGAGTTTTGCGAAAACATCGCCAGAATCTCGCGAGATGGTACGCAACGTTAATTTGAGACTGTGTGGCTCTCAGACTGTACGTGTGTGTGTGCGTCTGTGTGTGCGTGCGGGCATGTGTGTACGTCTGCGTGTGCGCGCGCGCGCGCGCGCGCGTGTGTGTGTGTGTGTGTGTGTGTGTGTGTGTGTGTGTGTATGTCTGCGTGTGCGCGCGTGTGTGTGTCTGCGTAGGCGTGCGTGCGCGTGTGCGTCTATGTAAATGTGAGCATGTGTGTGCGCATGTGTGAGCGTGCGTGAGCGCATATGTGTGTATGTGTGAGTGAGTGTGTGTGTGAGTGCGTTTGTGTGCGCGCATGTGTGTGTGTGGGCGCGGGTGTGTACGTGTGTACGTGTTTGTTTGTTTGTTTGCTTGCTTGTTTATGTGTGTGTGTGTGTGTGTGTGTGTGTGTGTGTGTGTGTGTGTGGTGTGTGTGTGTTGTGTGCATGCATTGTTTGTCTTGTGTTGTGTGTGGGTGTGTGTGTGTGTGTGTCTGTGTGTGTTGTTGTGTGTGAGTGCTGTGTGGCTGTGAGCTGTGAGCTGTACTGTGAGGCGTGAGGCGTAGCTGTGAACGCTGTGATTGGCTGGATGCTGTGAGGCTGTGAGCGCTGTGAGTCTGTGAGGCTGTGAATGGCTGTGAGCTGTGAGGCTGTGATGCTGTGAGGCTGTGATGCTGTGATGCTGTGAGGCTGTGAGGCTGTGAGGCTGTGAGGCTGTGATGCTGTGATGCTGTGAGGCTGTGAGGCTGTGAGGCTGTGAGGCTGTGAGGCTGTGATGCTGTGATGCTGTGATGCTGTGAGGCTGTGAGGCTGTGATGCTGTGGGCTGTAATACTGTGAGGCTGTGAGGCTGTGAGTATGTAAGGCTGTCAGGCTGTGAGGCTGTAATGCTGTGAGGCTGTGAGGCTGTGTGGCTGTGTGGCTGTGAGGCTGTGAGGCTGTGATGCTGTGAGGCTGTGATGCTGTGAGGCTGTGAGGCTGTGAGGCTGTGAGGCTGTGATGCTGTGAGGTTGTGAGGCTGTGAGGCTGTGAGGCTGTGAGGCTGTGAGGCTGTGAGGCTGTGAGGCTGTGAGGCTGTGAGGCTGTGATGCTGTGATGCGAGTACCGCGTGACAACAAATGTGCACCCGCCGCGCATTAATCTCTGTCAGAACGAGGTCCAGTCTTCCTTCCGGCGGCAGAGCAGCTAGGGCAATTACGTCTGCCTTCTCTCGCGAGCTAATCAATTATTTACCTAAGAAACAGATTTATAATCGAGCCAGGATGTTGATAGTAGCGTCATTGCTGTAGACGTGCACAGCCGAGTTTAGCTGAGCTATATTATTCTCCATATGACAGTTGTAATAATATACATTATTTATTTATTTATGTATTTATTTATTTATTTATTTATTTATTCATGCATTTATTTATTTTTTTATTTTTTTATTTATATACGTCAATGGTAGCAGGTATGCATCATTATTAATGACACAGCGATCCACGGAAACAGTTCTCCATTGCCTATCAGCATCAGCAGGAGTAGATAATAGAAGATATTATCTTCTATTATCTTCTATTATCTTCTATTATCTACTCCTGGCATTAGTATAGCGATGCTCAACATGACATCTGTTCTGATGAATCAAGAGTAGTTAATAACACAATTAATAACAATGATGTACAACATCATTATACATACGATATATCATTATACATCACGATTAACAAACAATAATGTGTTATTATCTACTCTTGTGATGAATGTAATGTGAAGCTAATAATACATTAATTTCTTGACGTAGTTTCCACGGGGGAATAACAGCTAGTAAGAGTAATGCAAGCCGGAAAGTTGATAAACCCCGCTATGTGGTGCAATTTCGGGATATATGTTTAGCTGCAGGTATTTCGGGACAGATTGTTATCGAGTTATTATCATTCGCTTACAGCTGCATATATATTATATGAGTCAATAATCTGTTTTTGTCATGAGGCAGAGCATGAAATACGATCGTCATGCTAATATTTCGCAGAATTAGTTAACTAACAGGACAAAAATGGCAAAACTACCATACAACCCAACTGATTAGTGAGATATGATGTTACACTAAGCACACACACGTAGGTACGCACGCTCATGCTCTCACGAATACGCACGCGCGAACACACACGATGAAGGCACGTACACATATACATAAATATATGTATATATTCAATATATTCAATCTATACCCATGTACATGTTATGTTGGCGTACACACTCACGCACACATATACATACACACACATATATACACACATATACACACATACACACACACACA